ATCTTGGTGACACAGGTTTTCTATCCTGATGCTGTGTCCTAACCTATTTAGGTTGCCAGGACAGACAAGGTTGGGATGGCAGCAGAATGTGGAAGACTGATTTCCTGGATGAGCCAGACCTTCTGCCTTTAGCAGTCTATCAGTCTGGCAGGTAACAGAGTAACCATCCTCTACATACTATAGCAAGGTGGATCACCTTTCCAATGGTACACATGAAGTAGGATCAATATGAGTATGACTAGCGCCTTGCTGAGATGGTGCAATAGCTTTTGGATGAAAGATGTCACCCAAGGGCATTCAAGGGTGTGTGTTGTGTGGATGGGACTAAGGCAATTGGAAGAGCCTTAATCCTTTGGGACAGTCCTTGGAAGTAATCTAATATATCAGTTTAGATGTAGCCAAAGATATCCCAATTATTTTACAATAGAGTTGAGGAACTTCAACCATTGTGGGTTGAGTGCTTGCCAGGATGTGACTCTTAAACGACAATCTGAAACTGCAGAATCATGTTTTGAATCATCCATACCATTTTCCTTGCCAGAAATTAGTTGACTTCTTTTGCCCCTTCACAGTATTTCCAAGTGCTGTTTCAAATTCACTGTACCCAGAGTGGTGCATTGTTGTCTTAAATGATGAGGAATTAAATCATGACCTTGTTTCTACACAATGGTACTAGCAGTTTTAGGCAATGTTTCTCTTCACACAGCTTTTCAATACTGAAAAAGGACCTTCCTGGGTGATGTAAAACGGCTTCCCAAATTCTCCTGTGAAGAATGTGCAATAAAGCTGAATGGAAGCTGTTTGTACAGCACAGCAAGTAAGATGTAGTCCTTCTGGCAGCTACATTATGTTGTAGAGCCACAGCTTGCCCTTATAACTGAGTCTCTGTATAGTCTATGTTCTTATTTAACCCAACAGTTATTTTTTCTGGGTAAAAGTTATGGGAAGTAGAGAGTAATTTCTTTCCTCTGCACTTCCATATAGCCTTCATTTATTTTGTTTGTTTGTTTTCCTCCCTTCTTTTTTTTTTTCCCTTTTCCCCTCCCTTTTCCCCTTTCCCTTTTTATTTCCCCTTAGTTAAATTGTTTAATTCATGGTAGTATTTATTTAATTGTTATTATTATTTCCCTTTAATTAAATTATCCTTATCTCAACCCGTGAGTTGTTCTTTGCTTTACTTCTCCCCCTCCTCATCTAAAGGAGGGGGAGTGAGAGAGCGGTTGTGGGGTTTAGCTGCCCAGCACGGTAAAACCACCACACTGATGCCAATGAAAAATCTCTGACTTCAACAGGCACTACAATTTATCATTTAACTGGAAAATATCACTATTTAGATTCTCTGATAAAATTCCACAGTCCAGGTTTTTAAATATATTTTAAAAATCTCAGTCATTAAAGAATTCCCTCCATTTTTTACTTTTATTATTCTTATGTAGAAGATGAGAACACATTTAATATACACCTATCACTGTTTCACCAGGTTTACATTTGTGGTGCCTTTACCGTATTCATGATCTATTTTGATCTACTGTATTTTCTGATCTATTCAATTGTTTCTCTATCATATACATTTAATTGGATATATCAGGTTCTACATGTTTTCGCCCCATTTTGTTTCTTCAGTAGAACCTACCAGAGACATGCCCAATTGCTTTAAGATACTTTTTTCTTTTTCTTTCTTTCTGTGAATATTGCCCAAGTTTAGCTAGAAGGCTGATTGTACATCCTAATTGCCAATCATAAATTTATCAGCAATGTTTCACATTTTCCAGAATGAAACTGACTTTCATTCTGGAGCTCATAATGAATGTGAATATCTATTACTTATTCAAATCAGTATTTTCAGTCTCTTTGTATATTCCAGAAGATTCCAGTCATAAAGAGAGCCATGATGAATTCTTCAGTATTTTCCTGTCTCGTTCTGGGCTACTGCTCATTTTTCAAATACAAATGCCTAAATGACAGAGGGTAACTGATGCCAGATTTACATTCTTCTGCTTATTTTAAGTCTTGTTTGAGTTCAGGATGATCCACTGTTTCACAATAAGCAGATGATTATTGCATAACTTTAAGTACACGATCTCCCTACACATTTAACTCAAAACCCATCTTTTTCAACAAAATTCTTGTTGCTAATTTTCTGTGGCTAAGAACCAGGAATTTGCAGTCTCAGTTCTCTTTCTAGCTGCTACTGACTTAAAGAATTGATATGTGAGCCTCTACTGCCTTGGAACCCATGTATCTGTAACTCCATGTTTTCGTTTTATAATTTATTTGTGTTTTAAAATGAAAAACAGAGAAGTAAAGAAATACATGACAGTTGATAGGATTATACTGTGGCAGAATACAGAATACTAAGGACAATAAATTATTTCTATTGCCTCAAATACTGAAAAACAAAAATAGATTAATGTGGTTAATAGCTAGAAGACACAACATAAATTACACAGCAGATTCATTCTAAGTCCTATGACAGTTTTTCTTGTTCAAACACATAAACAAATTTGTTGACAAAGAGCTAACAAACAAAACCTGTTTTGCAATGGATCAATGGATTGTCTCAATGAACTGAAGTGTACCCCCATTTACCCTAGCTGTTTTAGCGGTCAAACCTGTGAAAGCAGAGTATTTTTTCCAGCCAGGAAATTTAGGCAACAAATCTTTTGGAGCATATTAACACTATTAAATCAAGTATTAAATGGTGCAAGGTGTTTCTTCCTGAAGCTGGTGAGAAAGTCTATTTTATTTCCTGTACAATAAATCTATACTAAGCTGGGAAGCTTGAAGGATCACCCTCATACAAAGGAAAAAATATTTCATTGAAATGACACTATGCTGAAGGATCTGACACTCCAAAACATTAAGATCCCTATCTGCAAATCCCAGATGGAATTCTGCAACATGAAAGACAATTTTTCTTAAAATAAATGTTATATAAATATTTCAATTTTTAGAGTCATTTCACCACAGAGACTCTAAGTTGATTAGCTGATTGCTTTTCTTCCTGCAGAGGTCAAAAGGTGCTAACTATTACTTGATTCAAATTCACTGGTAAAGTCAGTTTGAATATCAAATGGCCAGAATGTAGAGAGTCTGAATAAATAGTCAACTTCATGAATTCACAGTTGCAGTTCAGGAGTTTGACCTACTTGCTATTATTCCTAAATCTACTATTAAAGTTTAAGCAACTACACTAGTTTTACCTAACTTGACCTATTTTGTGCAATTCTAATGTGCTTACCCCAGTGTTACCTGTATACCATGATGAAGAAGACACTGCAAGTTATGTGTGCTTGGCACTCCCATGTGTAATCCTAGCATCTTATACTGCTCAATGTCCTGATCAAATTTTAAGGACTTTTTCCTCATTTCAATTATTTGGAAAAATATTATCTGCTTTAGCACTTCATTCTGCCTACTGAAGTCTTCATGTATCTCTGGAACTACAAGAACAAGGGCCAGGGCTAAGTAGAAACAGTCTGATAATGCTATTCACAATTACAAACAATATTTTCATGGAGGTTTCTGCAAAGAAGAAATAAACTGAGGGAATGTATATCATGTAAATGCAGAAGAATCTAGCACGCATATATTTAAAATATCTAGCTTAAAATGCAATCTTTACTTATGTACCTCTAGGTAATTTCAGTCAAGCTGCCACGTTAAGGAAGGGTGGAAAGTCTTTGTTAGTTCACAGAACCATAATACTTATAATATAATTATAATAATATAGTTAGCCATGCTGTATAACAGCCATTAAATTATGGTAGCTGCTAATTTCTACATCAAAGTTTTAACTTTTGCTTAAACTATAGAAGTGCATTTGAAAAGTACCCAGTTCTGACTAAATGTTAAAAGCTAAAGAATATCTATCATTAATTCTGTTAAAGTTTTATTATTTTTGTGCTCAAGCTTCTCAAGTACAGTGGTTCTAATATTTTTCAACCTGCCTTAACACATTTCCCATAACAGCATCAAAGCAATTACTTGTGAATAATACAGAAAGCACTAAGAGTTCCAAAAGTAATTCAAATGTATGCGACTCTATTGTGTACAGTTAACATGACAAAGGATTTGTAAAACCTGTCTTCTTTAAAATATAACCTCTAGAATGTTTCTTTTTTCTGTATGATTTCCCCATATTTTGTGCCTGAGAAACTTGGGAAACACTTGGTACAAAGTAACGGGCTTCATTGACTGACTACAGCATCTACCATATGAAGTATATCAAGAGAAAGTGAACAGTGCAAATCCTCTCAGACTCATTTATTTATACTCCACCATTACATAATTAAGCATCAGTAAGGCTAAATGGCTTTATCTAAGAAGTGCTCCAGATAACCTCAGGTGAATTTACCTGCAGTGGCTAACACCACCTTATACCTGCTCAGATTTTGGAAGACACCGTTTAGTAATTGAAGGCAGCAGCCACTGCCTAGAACTCATCATTAATGCAGATTTGAGATAATGATAGTATGTGTTAATATATCATTATAATAGAATAATAGTGGCCTGTGGACTGATTCAGCTAAGAAACAAATAAAACAATTTCACTCAGCAACACGTAACAGCCCTGACACTAAGGCAGTGATTCCTGCTGGCCCAGCCATGCAGAAGACTGATGGCCCCCATCACTTCAGCTGCCAGATCTCATTTTGGCTGCAACTGTTGTTGGAAGCCACAAGCCGCTCTGTTTGTGCTGTTGCTACCTTGCCTTGTATACAAATTACCCTTCCAGAAACAAATCACCAAGTTCTCAATGCCACAGCTGACCGAAACACTCAACACAATTGTCACCAATAAATAGTGGAAGATTTGATGTGCTATTTACTGATGAAGGCCTAGCAGCAGGAAATGAAATAAATCAGTAACTTTCCCACAAAATGTGGAAATTATATTATTAGTATATTAATTATTAGTATATTAGTATTAGTATATATAATTAGTATATTAGCTGCTGTTAAGTAAATATATATTAGTATATTAGCTGCAGGTGAGCTGTGCTGATTTGAGCTCCTAGCCAGTTCACCCTGCAGTCAACAATCAACTTGAGCTGACAGAAGAGTTAGGATTTGTGGGTGAATGGATGTAAGGAAGGGACAACACTGACAACCTCTGCAGTGAAGGGACAACACCGACAACCTCTGCAGTGAAGATAAACCCAGTGAAGCTAGATGGCATTCAAGAAAAGAGGTCTTAGGCTTGAAATCACAGAGCAGAATGTAAGGTGAACACACAGTAACCTCACCATTGCCCTCTTTGCAGAAAAATTAGCAAAAGCTTGTTTATTCATGGCTATTATGTGGTAGTGCTCTGGATATTAGATTTTATGAAAAACAGTCTCATTTCTAACCTGCTATTTCTGATCCTTTTCCAGACTTGATATTTTTTTAACAGGGAGCTGATGTATGTGGAAAGCAGGTGCTGGTTACAGGCACACATGGTGACAGGTAAATGATTACTTTTTCTCTATCCCCACCTCTAAGCTGGGGATTTTCCACTACAGTATCTTTGCTTAGGGAAAATTTTAAAATGGCAGCAGAGTCTCAAGCTGTCTGATTTTAGTGCTGATAGAATGGCACTTGATTTGCTTGACTAAGGAAGCTGCTGGCAAAAAATGTTACAATTGGCAATTTACTTGTCTCCATGAATATTTTGGCTCCATATCAACTTTCTGAAGTTTTTTTCCAGACAGGTGCAGAATAATCTGCACATCTACCATCTAGCAAAATCTAAACTAGATGAAAATATTTTATTTATATAGTCTAAAATGTAGTCTGATATGTTATAAATGTCAATGCTAATGCTACTAATTAAAAGTATGAACTCAGTGTGGAATGAACAGATTTTTCTCATTTACTGCTATTCTATTATTTTCTTTAATTTAGGTTTAAGGTTTGTGATATCAGAAACCTTTCTTACGTGAGTAACACCAGCACAGATACCTTACAGGACTAAATATTTGAGGCTTACTCCCCTCATTTAATGCTTACTCCCCCATTTTCACCTTTAAATATATTACTTCACATGATCTATTAACATTATAAAAAATAATAATTCTGAACAAAATTTGTCAATGTCCTCATGAAATACCTTCTAAACAGAGATCACAGAAATGAAAGATCAAAGTAGGCTATGTTACTAAATTCAGATGCCATACTCAGTTCAGATGCCATTAATTTTACACTCCTGTGGACATTCTCATTTTATTTCTAATATAGCAAATAAAATTTATGTTCACTCTGTATGCAACAGGTTTGTATTGTATATTGTTTTGTATGTATAATAGTGTTTTTTGAAACACAAACAGAATGCATTCGGATAAATATACAGCACTCTTAAATCACAATAATTATTTCTAGGTGGACCTTTTGTTTTATATTTCTAATATATAAATGAGATAACATAGAAAAGATACTATCCAGTGCAAGTAAAGGGATCAGATTCTAAGCCTTACTGTTAGGAGACTGCTATAGAAACTATCTCATCATAAAGTAACTTGCAAAATGTAAGTCAGAAAAATATCATTTAAAAGCAAACTTGGAAAACTCTTTTATAAACATTAGGAAGGAATACTGATTTAGTTCTCATTCAACAAATTATCCCTATGTGACAAGACTTTTAAATACATATTTACGCATGAGCTGTGTGTGTGTATATATATATATATATATAATTTACTTGAATAACAGCTAAAATGATTCTTAAGTCCTTTGTTGAAATACAGCCCTTTATAGCTGGTTTGTAAAGCCAAAATCTAGGATGATATAAAGTAATTGACATTATAACACCAGCTTTTTTTGAATATTAGAGCTTCTAAACTATTAGAGCTTCCAAAGTTCATCTTGAAAGGTGGTTCAAGAATCTAATTTCCTGCTGCCATTTGTGACTAAGCTGTAAAAGGGTTTATTGCCAATATGCAATATAAAGCATAATGACATAAAAAAAAAAAAAAATTAACATCTCTAATTGATTTAAAAGCTTCTTAAAATGACAAACCCTGAGATCCTGAGTCACTGGACATAAATCAGTTTCTGTCAAATACCCACTACTAGTTGAGAATTTTAATCCATGCATTCATTGTGTATTGCTTATTTTCTGGACATTGTGCAAGAAAGACAGAATTTTTTTTTATTTTTTATTTTTTTTTCAAGCAAAGTTTTCAAATTTTCATACCTTCTTTATGCTGTATCTTGCTAAGAGAATTCCCCTGGAAACTAGCGAAGTCACATCTGTTATCCAGCTAGAAACTGAGCTTCTTCTTTATTATAATACCAGACTAAATTCACATATGTAGGAAGTTAAGGATAATAACGTACATGAATAATTATTTACTAAACATCTTCTTACTTGTACCTCTGATATACACATTTTTTCTACTTTGGCTTTCCAGGATTCTGTTTTTCTTCAACACTTTCTGAAAGCTTTTTATTCTACTGCTTTAATTCACCCCAATTCTTTCATGAGGATATTTGAAAATAAAGGATACAAAGCAAGAATAGCTACATCTTCATAAGCAGGAAAGAATCTGAAATAAAAGTAAATTTGCATCATCACATTCACATAGGAAATTTAAGGAAATATTTTCCAAAAATGTAATGGCTGGTGATACAACGCGGTCAAGTTGTTTATTTTTATCTTCTACAATCTGCAATATTACATATTTAAAATTCAAAGTTGAAGTTGTCTTTGTTAGCATGGATATTTCCTGTCTGCTCTTTAATTAGATTCATTTTTACATAAAATTTTAATAATGACATAAACATTCAGTAGTACTGTGAAGTATTCATCTTGAAGTATGTGTTTGTGCCTTAACAATGCTTCTTGTTTTTCAGTCCAGGTTGGCAGAACCATCTCTCAAAATCACAATTGCTGTGCTTAAACCTGCCTGGGAGTATCAGCCCCAACTGGATTCCCATCACAAGGGCTTACTTCCAGAAAATGATATTCCTGGGACAGTATAAATGTAAGCCTACCTTATGACAGTAAGCCTCCCTTTATATATGATGTAGTCAAGCAAGTAATGCTTACTAGCTTTAGAGATGACAACAGTTTTAAGAAATTCAGTTTAACACTTTGTTATTTCATTCACATTTTAATCATTTTGCTTTAGTTTGCTTGAATCAGTTTGAAGTTCATTTTATGTCCAATGTTTTAACGTCAAAAGCTGCAACCCATTACCCCTAAGGAAACCTGGTTACTGAAAGCACTACTATATATCAATAAGTGTTAGTACATATAGAAAAAGATTAACTGCCTAGGTTTTCTTTAGTGATGAATTCTTTCCTTGTAATGTATTCATAAAAGGCATCTAGATAAGCAGGTAGTCTTCAATCTTTCAGTCCTTAACTAGATTTCTTCAGTTATGTCAGTACACAATACACATATGTCAGAGAAGTCTCACCTTCAGCTCATAATCAATGCTGCCAGCTGTCATAAGTATGTTCAGTTTTCATTTTGTACACTGTGTCCTTGGCACAAATATCAAAAAACATTATTGGGTCCTACGATAGCCGTGATGTATTTTTCTTTGTCTACACCATATGAATATCAGCTGTATATTTAGCTGTTTTTAAACAAAAGGATTACAAGTCCTGTTCAAGCAATATTTGAACAGTTTCATCTCAGCTTAAAGGAAAGTTTTGTTTGTTTGTTTTTCTTCTTTCCTAGCCCTACATGAAGATCACTCACCTTAACTGCTTGTACTGGTATAATTTTACTTGCCTACATACACAAATGAACAGAAAGATGTCACTTGGGGTTTGAAAACAGCTTAAATCAACTGCAGTAGTATGGAAAATGAACCACTCACTAAAGTCAGAAAACGACAAGAGAAGGGACTTAAACAGGTGGAGGAAAGGTTGATTTCAGGTAGACTGAAGGAGTAGAAGAGAGAAGAGTATTCAGGTAGCCAGTAGAGCATAGAGAATGAAACAGAGAGGACTAGGGCAGTGTAAAGCAGTCTCTGACTACAGTAAGTCCAAGGTCACTGAATAGCAAAAAAAAGAATTACAATAGGTGAAACAAAGGACTTCAGGACACAAAAATGGTTGCTAGAACAACTGCTGAACTGCTGGTTGCACTGAGGGTACAACCGAGCACAAAACCGCCATGAAGAACAGATGTAATTGGGAGAAGCTGATAAAAGCAAGATCAAGAATGCGATGAAAATCAGCTGCACACTTATGGAGATGAGAAGGGAGAGCGTTTCTAGAGTAATTATTAAAACACAGTAATCTCAACATGGTTTTGTGAAAAAGTTCTTCACTGCCCTTGTACTTCAGAGCTCACAAAGGAGAAAAGCAGATAATAAAAGGTCATATTTACAAGAAAGTCAGCATTTGGTATGTGTAACAATAGTTTATAATAAATTTAAGAGGCATCAAAACTAAGGGTTTAAGCAAACTGCATCAGAATCACAGCTTCTTAGTACATGCCTCCTAAATGAGCACCTCCAGATGAACTTGCACTTCTTGAATTCTGGCACAATGCATATTCTAAACTGTTTCTGGTTCACTAACTTTCCAAAATGACATTTAATTTGTAATTGCATGACTTAGAAATTATTCTTATGTTTCTGTCATTTTTCATTTTTCCCCCTCTTTACTAATAGATCAAATGTCAATAAAATCATGCTGATATAATGTAATGAATTATATATAATTTTAATATGTACACTTAAATTAGCAACATCCATGCCTAATTACAATTTTTGTTTTTAAAATCTTTAAAAATAGACTCTAGTAAACATCATGGGATTTATAACAGCCTCTGTAATTATTTTCTCTGAATTATTTTTATTGTTCATCTGACCATAATCTTGTCTCTTAAAATTATATATATTCGACAATCAAAACAAGCTGCTAAATAGCTCTGAACTTTGATCTATACCCATAAATAAATAAATAAATTCCAAGTGTTCTTCTAAGCAGGTATTATTCCATATGTATCTTTTAAAATTTTGAGAGAAATTCAAGATTAGTTGGAGAATGTTAGAGGTTGGACTTGATGATCTTGAGGTCTCTTCCAACCTAGACAATTCTGTGATTCTGTGATGTAAGCTGGGTTAAAAAAGTCATGGGTGAAGTGAGGAGCTGACTGTATGTTTAACTGTTTAGACAGGACCTGGTTTAATGTTAACAGTTTTCAGGAAGAATTAAGTGGGCTTCACTAAAATATATTATATATATTTTTAATTGATGTCTTTCCCATTCAGTTTTCCTCCGGGAAGTTGAGGATGACATTGCTCATAAATGGAACACTGTTTTAGCCTTTATTCCTAAAGGAATAATTTACTTGAAAACTTTATTTAATAATCACCAATTTATCTGCTGTACTGCAAGGGGCATTTTGCAACCATATTCCTACATGGCAGCTTTTCTAATCAGCCTTTAAAACAACTTCATCACAAAACCTAAGAGATATTGACATCCTTCCCAGCACTTAGAGACCTCCAAACTGAACAAACTGAAAAAAGGCATCACAGCTACTCCTTTAAAAGTTTCCTCCTAGTAAGAGGGAGAAGTAAACATTTAGATCTATATGTACAGGATTTTGTATCTGACTGCTCAAAATGAATGGACAGGATCGTGTTATAAAAAATCTGAGCAGGGGAAAGTTGGGTTGAAAGATGGCAAGATAATGCCTATACTTACTGTTTAGTTTAAAGATGTCTCATGGTCCCACTTAAGTCAGTGGTAGTTTTGAAAGTAACATCTACCGAAGCTTGTAGGGTTGCTATTCTGTGTTACTCCTACATCTGTCATTATGAAGGTGATAATTATTACTCTCACATTCTGAAACACATCACTTTTATAAAACTTCGGTTTATTGAACCCAAAGAAGCTTCACTCGTAATAATGTGTTTTAGTGTATGTAGAAAGAAGCTGTATGCAACATATGTCTCCAAATTCCCCCAAGTTTCATTGCCAGCAGATGCCAATTTGTACCTGAGAATGCAAGAAAGAACATGACAAAGATTCTCCAAGCACTGTCAAAATGCTGAAATTAATTTTATTTCTCTTTGGATTTCCTATATTTTTTATCCCATTTATGAATAATTTCTTTGCATTCCATCTGTTGTTCATGGATCAGCTTGAAATGAGAGTTTCTACCATCCAGAAGATTGCTGAATTCTGGGATTTTTTAATTTTACTTATTTATTATTTTTTTTATGTGCCATGTTTACTGTAATAAATGAAAGTCTTTGGTCTGAAATCTAAAGACACATACCTAGCATCTTCTCCATTTCAAAGCTGTTGTACTGAGGAATTAAAGAAAGTTGGCATTCCTTTCTCTAGTCTTTTGCACAGGCAAATGAATTTATGCTTAGAACAACTTAGTACTGTAATTCTGTTCTTTCAGATAAAGCTGAGAGCTGATATGGGGTCAAGGAATCTCCACAATGGTACCATGACGGTGAACGGAAAATACCAATTTTCAAAAGAAAAAGAATATTTTCAGAGTTGCTAGAGTTTTCTAAATTAATGCAATTCAGTAGGATTCATTTGTTTTCCTTATAACTTAAATTTTGTTCTTACACTTCTTAAAGAGAAAACACAACTCTAAACAAACTGGGACCAAGTTGTGAATACATTTTATGCTAAAATTGAATTTTTAGTGAATGTCATCAAGAATATTTGCTTTGAGGTTTCTATCAAAACCACAATCATTTAGCTGAGTTTCCTCTTACATTTCTGTTTGAATTCTCAGTGGATGTAAACCTTATGCAAACTTTAGCCAGAACAACGTTGGAACTCTTGCCAACAAAAACTGCTGAGTTTCACACAGCTTTAAATATTTTACAAGGTCTGAAACTTTGTTTGCTCTCATTTGAAAGAACTGTTAGGATACTGCTCACAGTTTGCCTGACCTCAGCCAGTAATTTGGAAGGTTTACTCCCAAGCATACCTGTAACTTTCCACTTCACACAGTCTCAACCATTTAGGAAGAATCGAGTGGGCAAAAAACAGGAGTCTCAGTCTACGCCAAAAACCCTATTATCTCTTTCCCAGTCACTGAGAAGTCATAAAAAAAGGTTCCTCAATGCTTAAAAATCAACATCCTAAAGGATAAACAAAATATAATAGCTTTTATATTAACATAACACACTAGTGAACATAGTGGTCATCACTGCAAAAAACAGTCTGTAACACATAGGCTAGAAAACCAATGCCATTAATGGTAATGCACTTACAGTTAAATGCAGTGAATGGAGTATACCCATTCCTATTGTGAACTGAAGTTATCTATATTTATTTTTCCAACTTTTTCCATATCCAAGTATCACTAATGAAATAGTGATGATAAGAATAATTATCCATAACAGCAATTAGAAGTCTCAGTTGTGCAACTCTAAAGACACTGTACAGATAAAGAAGACCTGGACACAGAAAAGTCAGCAGTAGTGAAGTGCTGAAGAACTCTGATTTGAGCATATTTTTATATGCAAGCAGAAGAAAACTCAAGCTACTAATACACATACATGTATTTATATATCAAGATTTTTAAGAGGGACAACTGTATGTTGCTAAATATCAGTGAAACAAAAAACTGTCTAGGAGTAAAATATAGATGCTACTAGAAAACATTTTAAGGGTATCTTACTTGAAGTAGAAGAAAGAAACCAACAAGAAAAAATTGAGAAACAAAATTTTTGGAAAACTGTGACTGCAGCAAGGATGTATGTATATATATTTGTCTGTATCTATATTTAAAAGTCTACATGTGAAAGAAAAAAACTGTTGGCACGATTTTTTTTTATTTTTATTTTTTTAAGTGGAAATTGTAGGAAACTAGTAAATAAATCAACAGCTCTAATGAAAAATAAATAGTCAATATCAACAAGGAAAATAATGAGATTTTCCATGTGGTACAAACAGTTAATAGGTTCTCAGTATTATATTTAGATCAAAACCACTCAGACAAAGTAGAATTTTAGCAAAAGGCAGCAGTATACAGTTATTATTTCTGGTCTCTATCTACCTAGGAAAAAAACAGGTGATATACCTATTCCAGGAAGATAATTACACAATTTCCATTCCACAACAAAGCAAGTAATTAAAAAACATATAAAACTACAAATATATTTTTAGGTCAGCAGGTCAATGTAATTTGCATTAGAAGTTTTAATATGCTAGAGTTCAGAGTTATCTGAACCATAACTGATGATTTTCAGTAACTGCTGGAACACTGTAAAACTGCCTGAAAACTGGAAAAAAGCTGTTGCTGAACATGTATTTAAAAGGTGAACAGACAAGATAATTGCATATTTATCAACTTGGGAGAGATTACAAAAAAATCAGTCACTGATACAGACCTTAATTTCATAAAAGGTACCAAAATACAGCAAATCAATACGAACTGAATGAAAACAAAGACTCATAACCCACCCAAAACCTTTTTTTCTCAGACTCCTAGATTAGAGTATTGCTTCTGACACTTCAGTAAGGCTGACTCTGCACTGCTCAGGTGTTTTGACTAACACAATACTAGGAGAATTGCAATGATTAAGAACTGGTTAATTTGAACAATGTGATATGCAATACATAGAAGACCATTTGTTTTCCTAATGAATGTTCACTCTTTTTATCAATTATCTGGAAGAAAAGATAAAATCACCATTGATAAAATTTGTAGATGATAGTCTGGAGGACTGGTAAACACTAAAAAAGATGGGTCACTCCTGCAGAATGGGGTCACTTTATAAAATGGATCTACACAAACAATATGCTATTTAAGACAGCCAAACATGAAGATCAAACTACATTACTACAAAGGACTCTTTCTCATCTTACATCCTACAAATCAAACCATCTAGTGAAAAGCATCGCTTCAACTGCTGAGCATGGGAAAACTAATCAGAAAGAGTCAGGTTCCAGCCACAGCATCAGATTCCAGTTTTGGTATTACGCCATCTGGCATTTAATGAAAAAAGCTGCAAATAGCAACAGAGACTTTCAATTCTGTTGCAACTTGATAGTAACAAAGCCACATAGATAGCCTGCTTATCCCAAATATCCCCAAAAGGAAAGAACAATGTGCTTTGGTTGATAGTCTTTGCAAGGTTTGAGAGGGAAATACATGCATGGGTCATGCTATTCCTCATGTGTGAAGGTTGTTCCAGACATGGGGAAACCTTTCCAAGCTGGAAAAAAATGATGAATTGTTAGAAGATGTGAAGGCCAAGAAGCTTGACTCTAATGAGATGGCAGGTGGAAAGTTTATAATGATGATCATGATCATGATCAAATAGGTGGACTGGAACACGGCTTTCAGTGGCCACATTTTTGAGGAATCAGTTCAAGAAAAAGATGTTGAAGTAGTTACTGCAGAGCATTACTAAGGCTTGCTCTAAAGAACAACTGAATGTGGTAAGAAAAAGGGATGTTAGAGGAGTAGAAGCCACAGCAAATGACTTACGTATGTGAGATAAGGAGGAAAGAATAAAATTTCCCAGTCTACACAAAATTAGAAAAGCTAAAGTGTAATTGCAGGATTAGAAAGGTCAATCAAAATTTAGATCATATTTCCTGCAAAACTACAGATGTTTTCAAAAACTAAGCACTGAATACATAACACCATGCAGACACATAATGCTCAGTAATGTTCAGATGAAAGGAAGGCAAATTGGCTACGTACGAGGAGCATGCAGCTTCCAAATCTTTGTTATGCTTTCATACGTCAGATCTGAACTGTTACTGTTGCTATCAAAGACTGAAAGGAAAAATACTCGTCTGGGAACAGTAAGGCATCTCCCTTTTTCCTTGCCATGCTTTCTGTTCATACACCACAGTAAAGGAAGGCAGCAAAAAAAGTGACAGTGCAGATACAGATCACACCATGAAGATCACCTTCATATTGTTCTGGGAGGTGAGCCTAACCAGCCCAGGTAATTTTGTTAGCAAAACAATTGAAAAAAAGATG